CGACTAGCGTATCATTTACTTTGGGTAGGGCCGTGAAATTTTGCTAAACGGTCCATCCCGAAGTCTAAGCAATTTTAAAGCAAATATTTACTGAGGGCCCCGCAAATTTGTATTTTTTATTCGGCGAGGCTCATCTCATTCTTATTTTTTAAAAGGAATTTGCAACGTCATGGACACGCATCTCGAACCACGTCACAATCAATGTACCCGTGATTAGAGACACATTTCGACTCCGCTGAGATTTGGATTTGGGTCACATAAATGTGCACCCGAGTTTAAGAAAGTAAGATTAATTAAGACGCGTCCTAAAGAAACTAGCGTGTTGTTATTTTGGGTAAGGCCGTGGAGTTCGCTAAGCGGCCTATCCCGAGTTCAAAGTAATTAACACATACATTTTGTAAAGGCCCCGCAATTTGCATTTTTTATTTGGCGAGGCTCGTCTCATTATTTTTTTTTAAAAAAGAAGATAATCTTAGAATGACTACATTTTTTCTATTAAGTTTAGTCTCTAAAATAAAGAAAGAAAATCCTAATTAATTAGGAGCTAAAAAAAGTTTAAGAACACGTGACATACTAATTGCTAGATTAGGACCAATATTAATGGAAAGAATAAAAAAATTTCGAAATTATAAATAAAAATAAGAAATTCGACAACTAATATTCAAAAGAAATCAAATATAGCTAGATTGAAGCTCGCATTGTTATATAAAAAAATAACTATTGGAATTAATTATTCACCATTTGAAACTAGATTTAACCATAATTACTAAGGCTTATTAGAAAGATTATTAAACTTAAACATTATCTAGTCTTGTTTGGCTTTAACTAAATTTAACTATCCATTCATGATTGACCTACTGTTGACCATATTAAAACCTTCATAGCTAGTGAATTAACCCATTTTGCTAAGCTGATTCACTAAAGACCAACTTATGTTATTTTTCTCTTATTCCAATTATTAAACAGTAATACATGAAATAGCCTAAATACAATCAGTAAAAGAAACGAAGAGAAAGCGAAATTAAAACTTCAAAGTTCCATTCTTCATGTATTCATGCTTTCACATTTTTCAGCTTGCAATAACTAGTATTACAGTCGTATACCTGGTGTTTGAATACAAGGAAAGGAAGAATAGGATCAGCAGTAGTAGAAACAGCGCAGCAACAACAAACAACCAGCAGTCAGAAAATCCAGCAGTAGACTTGAAAACCAAACAGAAATTCCAGCAACCACTCAATAAAGCAATAACAAAGGACCAACAGTTAACTCAAGAAGCCAATTGAAAATCCCGGAAGCAAACAGGAGGCAGAGATCACACTCAGGAATACACGGAAATAGTATTCGGATATTTTAAGAATCCTCTTCCTCAAGATTAAAAGTATGTTCTTATCTCCTCTTTAGTTCTGAAATTTTTATCTCTCCCAAAAATCTTTTTTTCTTCTAAGTGTCAAATGAGTCCTCTTATACCTCAAGCAAGACTACCTTTTCTTTTTACCTCTTTTACTTTTTAACCCAATATTCTTTTACTATGTGCACATTTTAACCTTTTATTATTACCTATACTGTTTTTAACTTTTACTTCAGTAAAAGTAGTCAACATGGGCCCCCCCATGTTCCCTCTTTTTGAAAAGAAGACATTATTAACCTTTTTCTTTTTGCTTTTATCATTATGTCTTGTCTCCCACCATAATTAAATAATCTGTAATTAGTTAATTCCCGTTTACCTCTAAAACAACTGTTACTGCCCTGATTCAAAATCTGTTCAAACTTCAAAATTATCTAAGAACTTAAAAATTAAATTACCAGCTATAACCAATCCTTAATCCAGTCCAATCAACAAATTCAAACTTAAACGATGAACAACAAAGCAATAACCAGAATTATTTTGACTGAACGATATTTTTAACAACACATATATTTTCAGATTCAATAACATTAACAAATTGAACATAACAAACAAGTAAATTTGAATTTCTAAGCTCAATAATCATTTTAACTTTAAACTAAATCCAACAACACTACAACCAAGATGAATATTCAAATTAAATCAAGAATTAAAACATACACATTAAATCACTGGATTAAGAACGAACTTCAAACAAAAGATGAACACGAATTTAATCTAAACTAATCAACAAAGATGGATGATTCAAGCGATTAAACTAACATATTTCTATATTACAACTAAATTCTTTTAAACGAATAAACAAACCAAAGAAGAATTAATTAATTGAATTTCAACTTGAATCTAACAACATTAACAATTTCTAAAAAAAAAATATACAAATGCTCATGAAACAAACTTGAAGAAATAATTAATTAAATTTCAATTTGAATCTAACAACATTAAAATTAAACTAACAACTTCTTTTACAAAAATAAATAAAAACACATGAAATAAACTGAAAAACTAGTTAATTAAGCGAACAAAACAAGAATCAAATATTTACCGATTTTAGATCCGAGAATATCAAAACAAAAATACGGACAAAATGAAACTCCAACCCACTAATCGGACCGAAGCGACGATGAACTCGAACGGAAAGTAGTTTGGTCGTTTGGACGATGACGAAGAAGGAGCACGGGCAGCCATGGCAGACACTGAAGAACGCAGCAGCAACAGTGACAGAGAAGAAGAAATAGTATCAACGTGAAGAAGAAGAAACAACAGCAACGATCTTGAAGAAGAAGAAACAACAGCAACGATCTTGAAGAAGAAGAAACAACAACAACGATCTTGAAGAAGAAGCAACCAACGTGATCTTGGAGAAGAAGAAACCAACGTGATCTTGAAGAAGAAGCAACCAACGTGATCTTGGAGAAGAAGAAACCAACGTGATCTTGAAGAAGAAGGAGCACGGGCAGCAGCAACGGACAGTGAAGAACGCAGCAGCAGCAGTGACAAATGGAGAAGAAGAAGCAAGAACGATCAGCCATGGCCGAGCTTTGAGCTCGCTAGGGAGAAACGAAGACGCAGCGAACGTGACGGACTGAATGTTGCTGTGTTTGGAGCGTCGAAACTGAACGTAGCAGCAGCTCACGTCCATGGCTGGAGCTCGACGGGGCAGCAGGAGTTTGGTTGTTCATGGCTTGGGTGGTGCGATGACGATGGCGGATCTGCTGGTCGCCATTGACGAGCTCCGATGACGAAGATGAGGCAGCAGTCATGGCTGTTTGGAGATGTGTGTGCGTGGTGTGTGCTATGTGTGTTGGAGAAGGAGAAGGAGGGCAACCATTGTTGGGGAGCTTTGGAGAAGAAAGAGAGAAAGAGAGGAAGAAGAAGATCGGGG